ACTGCTGAAATTTGAACTGAAAGAGTGCATGAAGCATTCTGCCATGTCTCACGCATGTATGCCAGTCACCAGCATTGCATTTGTTTAGCAACGTTCCCTTGCGGGTGCCAAGATGTACGGGAGCACGAAAAGGGCAGCTGTTAGATATGATCCAGCAGACTGGACATGCCCGGCCAAGTGTAGATTGCCTGATCACGTAGTCGCTCAATGCACCATGGCATAGGGACGAGCTGATCCAGCCTAACATTTTGAAACTGATTTATGCTTTTAGGAGTCCCTTTATGATTTACAATGTTTTTATCCTTACGCTAGTCTGTCATAGTTGCATGGTCACTGTTAATAAGTATCAGCGCAACCTAGAGACACAAGAAGATATAGCTTAACCTACTGAAAACGTGTTCCTCTAAATCATAATCCTTACATTTTTTAGCATACATGCATGTGGATCCTGCATTCTGAGTGAATGAAACAAAATAAATGGCTTGCTTTTAATGTTCTATCCATGCTACATTTTGGTTGAAGCTTTAAAATTACATTTTAAGACCGCTGCAAATCCCTCTAGTTGCTGGTTCATATATCATGCAGATTTGTTCCTGTGACCGCCTGGCACAGTTCGCGTGCCTCATGCTGACCTATTTCACTTGAACGGACAGATGGTTGGGATGGTTGGACTGCATTTGGTCTGATATACCATAATGCCCCTCTATACAGCCAAAGCAGACATTTTGATTGGTATTACAGGGATTCTCACGTTTGCTTTTGCCAATTCTTTGTGTCCACCCACCTACATTTACTTCAAAGGCTGGGTGTTACCACAATTGAGGCTTGAACGGTTACGGAGTTGTATTGTTCATGGTTCAGTGAACGTTTAGTATGGGGATGATGAGAAATACTTGGTTAGGAAAGGTAAAAGGGTTTCCATTTTCAATAAGTGTCCATACTCAATCACACAGAATAAAGATGTGAATATAAAATGCATGCACGATTTGTTGGGAAAATGAAATTGTTTTTTTTGCCTCTAAACACTCTTTTGAGAAAATCGGTTTAGATTGAAGTTTCAGACGCTCACAGTGCTTGAGAACTGAGCATTAAAACTCAGCGTCTTAAAAGATTAGATATACTTTCCTAATTAGATAAAGTCATGAACTGATAATCTTAACCAGACACTTTTTATCAGTCTAATACACTTTGAACCGCTATATTTGATAAGAATGATGTCATTTCTTATGGAACTGCCTGCATTAGAATTTAAAACACCAGTTTCAATCGGTGCTTATGCCGTGCAAGTGAGTTAAAGAGATTCCATCCACAAATTTACTCACCCTGACACGCCACACATGCTTACCCACATGCTTTAAAAATGTCTTTTGACTGCGGCAGAAGGCATACAGGTTTGGAATGACATGAGTAAATGACAAGTTTAATTTTAAGTGAACTGTCCCTTTAAGTCGTTGCAAACATGAGAACACTAATGAATAGTCAAGCTCAAACCTGCCTTTGTAACGCACACATTCCTCACACACAATGCAAGAGACACAGCCCTTACGAAACTAGATTAGCGGATACTCACTAGCTCCATTTAGGATTAGATATTTGACCCAGCTCTCTGGTAACCGTTGCCATCTTATTGCACTTGAGAGGAGAGGCAATTCAAGGGAACACTCAGGAGGAAGACAATGCAGTTTAAGTTAATGCTTTATTTTAATAAGTCACTATATTACAGCATGATATAAAACTTGAAATCTTCTAGGACAAACCAGAAAAACAAAAACAAGTGGCATACAGACTCATATGGGCCCTGTTCAAACGGATACAATGCATGACAAGCACACACACACTTGAGAACAGCACAAGTGGGAAATGAAAACAAGGCACGCCATTTTACGTGGACAAGTGCACAAGAGCAGCATTAATACATAAAAAAAAAAAAAATTCCCCTCATTAAAAGGCATTGGCTGGCTAATAGAAAGAATGGAATTACCAGCATCCACATTCTTCTACAGCTTTAAATGACAACGTCAAGGGCTTTCTGACCTGGCATACAGAGATTTAAAACAATACCCATTACTCTCATAGCCCTTTAGTGTCTAGAGGAAACATCCTGAAAGCATCAGATACCACCAAGACAGGCCACAGGACAACCAAAGGGCAAGAAACCCTTTTTTGATGGCAGAGGGGAATTTGAAGCCCTTTAGGTCCACTGCCACCCATTCACTTCCCAGTCCAATGGTTCAAGAATAGTCCATTTTAGTTCTAAACCAATCAATCCTATCGCAACAGTCTACCTCCACCGATTTCTCTCTTGTAACGATTCGTGAGGTGGTCAGCCTGGACCGTGAGCTTGGACAGAACAGCAAACAGTCCATGGAGGTGGTAGTGGAATTGGCCCTCCAGGTCAGAGCCTTCCTCTGCCGCTCCTTGGACAGAACAGCAAACAGTCCATGGAGGTGGTAGTGGAATTGGCCCTCCAGGTCAGAGCCTTCCTCTGCAGCTCCTCCGTTCACCTGCGGTTCTTCATGCTTCACTGCCATCTCTAGAAAGCTGCCGCCCATCTCCCTCTTCAGCAGGCCCCACTCCATGTCGTTCTTGATGGACTTTAGCAGCAGGTAGTGCTCATACATGTCCCTCTGTTTGCTGGGGAAAGAGGGCTCGTTGTTATTGTGACTAACAGAGGCTTGGCTGTCCTGGTCCTCCAGAGGCACGTCCCGCAGGAAGCTTGGCACCATGATGGTCTCATCCATGTTGTTGGCAGCAGCGATGAACCGGTTCATAACGTTGAGCAACGAGTGCTTGTTGCATTGGGTGTCGCTGCTGAGCTGCATCATGGCAAAGCTGAAATGAAAGGGTACAAATCAAAATGACAAAAACAAAAGGCAATGCAAAAAGGTCTTCGACTTAAATCTCTTGCAATAAGGGCAACCATTTTAAATGGTGACAAACCGACTGAGCATTTATTTACTTATTCATAAGTCAACGTTAGGCGCGTCAAAGTCTATCCCGACATTGCACATTGTAAAACCTTCGAAAAGCCATTTGTGGGTACATTTAAGGGTGTTTATTACAGTTTCACGTGTCCTAATTCAGTTGCTGCAGCCATGATTCAGCTCGAACTGAAATTTAACTTGCATTTCTTTTAAACACCAAATTAGTTAGTAAGACCGCCATTTAATGAAGCCAACTCCGCGATTTCTTGGTTCAAGGAGTTCAACCTAGAACATCTCGATTCAGTGCCGCTTTTTAAGCGGTTAAACGGATTCATTGTGAAGAATCAACTAAAAAGACCGATTTATCCGTACATCATTATAGCTAAAAAAAGAGAACGTTTTAATTTCTCGCGTCGCTAATATAGATAGATAGCATTGTCTATTTAAAGCATCAACAACCAAACAATATTAAACGATGTTTAAGATGAAACACCTCATCGAAAGCCTATGCCTTTCTGATATTGCACTAACGAGCATGCAGAACGTAACACGAAAGAACCTTTCATTGCACGTCTACACACGAGTCAAGCGTCACTTCACCTGACCTTGCAATGACAAGTTGACAACGCAATAAATCTCAAAAAGATCCAGATACAAATGACTAACCTGGATGAAACCGTTTTACTGGACTGGAATAACCCAAAGATAAACTATAAAGGACTGACGAAGCAGCCAAAATTTTATACCGCCCCAACTGAGAAGAAAGCGCCCTTCTTCTGTTAGTTCTGTCGTGGACTGACAACATTTATACTGTTGACGTCAGGCAGGGAAGCGTCATGTCCAATGGTGTGGAGAGCTGCAAGTGATTGACAGGCCTTCGGACCAATCGAGCTTCAACATTTTATCTGCGTCGACGTGTGTCGGTATCTTTTACAGAATATAATAATCTCTTCACAAGAGGATGTGCAAATATTTACTTTACTCTTAACGCAGTGATCGATTTCAGCGCTTTATTATGAGCTCTTGCTCGTGGAGATTAAAGAAATTGCGATTTAACCTACGAACTACTATTTTCTCTAAATGGTCATTCGGTGTCGCATATGTCAATAATGCGACGTGCATCCCGCTAGATTTAAAGCATTTTATGACAGTAATCGCGATTTTTAATTATCACAGATAGTAATATTAGCTATATTTCTAGATATTATATGCCTGTCCTGTCCCAAATAGCACACTTCCCCCTTATGGACCTGCTTTCGATCCACTCGTCATTGGTTCTTAACCCAGATTGCAAAATACAGTCGTATAAATAAATAGATAGCGCCACCTGGTGGTTCTACGTCTGAAGTCTATGTTCATATAAAAGTTTATTGTTCCTATGCATTTTACAGTTTGCACAAAAAAAAGAACAGGCTGTTGACAGTTTGTTGTCTTACAAAGATACAACGTGTACATGCCCCAAAATTAACCCATATGCTAACAAAACGCAGAGGGTTGTTTATTTTATGACAAAAACTAATCAGTATGATTATGCTGGAGTGACGAGAGAAAATAATTATGGTTTAAAAAGTAATCTGGATTATACATCACCTTATTTGCCATCCAAATGCAAATATGTCTTTAAATACAGCTCAACCCCTGTATAGATAATGGCGATATTTGTAGCTTTGTATGTACATGTTAAATATTGTTACCTGATCAACCTGGGTGGCAAAAGATTTCACATTTTGAAGACAAAGTTAAAGAGACACTACAACCTTTCTCTTCAGCACATCACCACTATGACATTCAATAACCTTACAATTAACACTATAGCTGCTACATTAATAAAGACTGTAGAGAAATGGCAAATAACCACATCATTATCACAGAAGCAATCCAAATGGCAATGAACGTACATGTATTAAAACTATTTCTTGAAAATGAACTGCTGGTGACATAAACAGAACTCCCTATGTAACATGTTGAGTGGATAACGTCTTAAATGTCTCAAATTATTAAGTCACTCAAAAATATCCTTTTTGGCAAATGTTGAGAAAATGTTGAACTTTAGATGCATGCAAGAAATTTTACTACTTTTTTTTACTAGATGCAAAGTTTTAGTATGTGTTAATTCCAATGAAACAAAAGTCAAGGTGCGCAGTACACTGCATAACTGGTTCTTGGTTTAACACCGGCACTTTCTACAAACGTCTGTATATCTAATTGCTGTTATATTTACAACTCTGGCAAAACAAATGCAAACCGGTTCCTTCCCTTCAATGTAGCTACCAACAAGAACTATTCTTTAAAAAGCAGTCAGAAATTCACTAAAATGAAATGTTTAGCTAAGGCACACATACAGAACACTGAAACTAAATGTTTTCCCTTTTTGTCAGGTCCAGCTCTCGGTGATCTCCAGTTGATACCCTGTAATCAGACAGAAGCGACAGTAAGAACCCTTAAATGAGAACCTAGTCATTTTTTATCAGACAAAATACTCATTAAATGACATGTAATAGAACAACACAAAACTGTGCCATTTTAAAAAGAAGAGCCTAATGGGAAGAGTAAGAAAATATACCTGTGGATCACTACACCATCTCATATTGGTTGTTGGTGATATAGCGAGACAGACAACATGCCAGGGAACCTAGTCTTTATCAGACAAAATACTCATTAAATGACATGTAATAGAACAACACAAAACTGTGCCATTTTAAAAAGAAGAGCCTAATGGGAAGAGTAAGAAAATATACCTGTGGATCACTACACCATCTCATATTGGTTGGTTGT